TGATGATATGGAGCTTTTCTATAATCTCTTTCCACAGATGTAGTCAATTTGATCCCGGTGTATTCCATCTAGCAAGGTTCACATGTATAGTTGCCATTTAAGCTGTTGGAAAAAGCAAAATGAGTAAGTCATTGGTCTTGCAAAATTCTATCATGTGATCTCCAGCATCATTTCTATCATCAAGGCCATAACTTCCAACTATCAATGCTTCTTCTTTGTTTCCAACTTTCACATTCCAATCACCAGTAATTATCAACACATCTTGACTGCATGTTTGGTCCATTTCAGACTGCAGAAGTTGGTTAAAAAAAAAAATCTTTAATTTCTGCATCTTTGGCTTTAGTGGTTGGTGCATAAACCAGTTTTGACTGGTTCTCCTTGTAGGCACCTGGGTATTATCCTATCACTGACAGTATTTTACTTCAGGATAGATCTTGAAATGCTTTTTGATGATGAATATGATGCTATATTCCTTTTCAATTTATCATTCCTGGCATAGTAGACCGTAAGACTCTCTGATTAAAAATGTCCAATGCCAGTCCATTTCAGCTTACTAATGCCTAGGATATCGATCTTCATCATTTCATTTCATGTTTTACATTTTTCAATTTTCCTAGATTCATACTTCTTACATTCCATGTTCCAGTTATTAGTGAATGTCTGCAGCTGTTTCTTCCCATTTTGAGTCGTGCTCCATTAACAAATAAAGGTCCCAAAACCTTTACTCCATCCATGCAATTAATGTCTATTCTACTTTGAGGAGGCAGCCCAAAGTCATATTTTGTGTGTCTTCCAACCTGAGGACTCATCTTCCTGCCCTGTATCAATGTTTTGCTGCTACTCATAAAGTTTTCCAGTAATATATTAGACAGTGCTCCACTGCTATTCATAATTAATAGCAGTGCTGATATGCATGGGTTCTCATGCTCTGTCTAAAGAAGCCACTAAAATGGTGTACTCCTGCAAAATGAGAGAGTTCAATGAGAAAAAGGAAGGCATGGAATCCATGGGATCCAAATGACTGTCTCAGAATCTCTAGACTGGTGACATCCAGTTCTGAGGCCTCTGGCCAGGTCCAGAATGTCCCCTTCCAGGCACTTCCTTGGAGCTCTCACATCATATTTAACTCATTCATCCAACCTGGATGTCCACTGCTTCTTCAGCTATCCTACCCTTTATGCCCAAGAGACAGAACAGGTAGAAGTAGCTCCCCTTATCCTCATTGTCACTCCTTACACCTGTCATCTGTCTCACCACTACGTTGGTAGTGAAACTACTTTTGCTGAATCACTAATTACCTCCTGTTTTCTGAATCTAATGGATATATTTCAGTTTTTCCCTTACTTGAACTCCACAGTATTTACTATCTGTTGACCATGCTGCCTTCCTTTTGGCTTATAAGAGAATATTTTCAAATAATGACATTTTACTAATCTCTTGCAGCCCCTCCCCCAAATTTAGAGAATTTATACTAGTTTCTTACCAGTCCTCTTGATTTTACCTTATACACAGTTGTGCAGCATAACATCCATTCAGGTAATGCCTGACCAACTGCATAGACATCCATGGAGCTTGGAGGAAGGGCTTGCTTGGAAGGGTGCCAGGAGATGTGCCAGCTTTGAATATGACAAGCTGCTGCTAGGCTCCAGTGGCTGCCTCTGCCTAGCTACAGCCAGTGAACCACAAACAGCAGTGTCAGACACTAGGCTATTGCCACTCAGCTCCATCCCTTGGAGCTTCCAATTCTGACCAAGCTCCCACACCACAAACCCAAAGATAGCCAATTGTAGGCACAAATTAGTAAACCCCGATGCTCTGGGGGCTAATGGAAAGCTGGAGCAGCTTATCCAGGGGTTAGTTTGATACATGTGTATCAAATACCAAACATATACATACTATATGGTGTGTACACAATGTCCAAATCACATAATGTCCTATTTCACAGAACGTGTCATGGATGTTAAGTGACATATACCTGTATCTATAAAGAAGAGCCTTGGTAGCATAATGGCTAAGCACTTGGCTGCCAGGTCAGTGGTTCAAAATCATCAGTTGCTTCTTGGGAGAAAGATGTGGCAGACTGCTTCTTGAAAGATTACAGCCTTGGGGCAAAGTCTACTCTGTCCTACAGGGTCAGTATGAGTTAGAATCGACTCAAGGGAAATGGGAAAAATTGGCCTGTTCCCTCTTGTCCTAATGTAACTGCCTTATTTCTAACCCTTATTATTTGCCTGTATTATGTAAATAGTTTCCTTCTACTGGTCTCCTTGCTACCATATTACCTCTCACCCCCAATTTGTTCTTCACAGTGTAGTCAAATTAACTCTAAAACAAATCTGATCATGGCATTGCCCCCGTGAAAACCTTTCAATAACTATTACTGTCATAGTTCCCTAGGGAGTCCTGGTGGTACAGTGGGTAAGGCACTTGGCTCCTAACCAGAAGGTCAGAAGTTCAAACCCATCAGCTGCTACACAGTAGAAAGTTGAAGCAATCTACTTCCAGAGTTATAGCCTTGGAAACCCTATGGGGGTCACTATGAGTCAGAACCATAGTGATTTGATGGCAGCAGGTTTGGTTTATTTATTTATTTATTTATTTATAGTCTTAGTTCTCTAATGCTGCTATAACAGAACTACAAGCGGATGGCTTTAACAAACAGAAATGCATACTCTTACAGTTTAGGAGGCTAGAAGTCCAAGTTCAGAGTATTGGCTCTCGAGGAAGACTAGACGGGAAGTCTGAGTTCAGAGTGCTGGCTGTAGGGGAAGATTTTCTCTTTCTGGATGGATTCTGGGTGGAGGCCCCTAGACCCTGGGCTTCAATTCTGATTTTCAGGCCCAGTGGACCAAGCTGGAGGTTTCTCCTAACTCATGCAGTTGCAGGGGCTGATGAACTCAAGATTGGCAAGCAATATAGCAGGCCACTGGGTGCTGACACTGATGAATCCAAGATTGGCAGGTAAAACGGCAGCTTTTCAGCTCACAGGCTGAGAAGGCAACAGTTTCAAGATCAACAGGCAACACAACAGGCTGCTGGTTAAAGTCCAGGAACTGAAGATGATGACTAGGCCAAATGCAGGATCTATTCCATATATACTGGAAACAGGCCACAACCTGATGGCAACTCCCCTTCAACTGATTAACTGCTTACAGCAGATTCCACCATGGAAGCAATTATACCACATCCAATCTCATCATGAAAAATAACCTCATCATAGCTGCCAAGCCACTCAAAATCATGGCCCAGCCATGACACAGAACCATAACTACCACAACTACCTGTAACAGCCAAGCTCTTGAGTGAGTCTATATTGGCCCCACAGACTATCTACATCACCAATCTCATTTCTCTACCTACATACTCTCCAGGAGACAAAATTAGTCTAGGAAACTATCCTGCTTCAGAAATTTGATGTGCTGTATCCTCTACTTATCTGCCTTGCTATCTCCTGCCCACCCTTCCAGATCCAGCACAAACCTCTCCTCCTGTCTGCAACCCCTGACCCACCCATGCACTTGCCCATACTGATCCTCTTGTGGTTCCACAGCCCAGTAAGAACTTTCTTTCATGAGGCTCTTAAATCTCCTTGGCTGGACAGGAGCAACTCAAAGGCCAGGGCTGTGTCTTAGTATGTCTGGGATGACCTGTGAGGCATACTTCCTGACACAAGGCAAAACAGAAAACCAAACTCACTGCCATCGACTCGTTTAGGACTCACAGTGACCCCTCCTTGGATTTCTGAGGCAGTATCTCTAAGGATCTCTGGTAACATAGTGCCTAAAGCACTTGACTGCTAACCAGAAGGCTGGCGGTTCAAACCCACCAGCCACTCCTTGGAAGGAAGGTTGGGCAATCCTACTTCCGTAGTGATACTGCCTCAGAAACCCAAGGAGGGGTCACTATGAGTGAGTTGGGCCGACTCCACGGCAAGTAACAACAACAATCTCTAGGGAAGTAGATTGCCCAGTCTTCCTTTTGAGGAGTGGCTGGTGGGTTTGAACCGCCAGCCTTCTGGTTAGCAGTCAAATGCCTTATAAACATTGCCACGAGAGATTCCGGACACAAGGCAGGCGTTCAAAAAAAATTGTTGAATAATTGAATGAGTGAATGGGGAAAACAAAAAAAAGGCCCCTTGCCCTGGCCATGGTCCAATTCAACTGTGGACCTGGAATGAGATTCTTCAAACGACTCTTAAGTGTTGGTTTCCTCCGAAGAGTTAGACCAGCAGCTCATGCCCCTACTGAGCCTAGCGTGGGCACTGAGGATCTTGAAGGTGTGTAAGTCCCTTACACGTGGAACGCAGCGCGCCCAGGAAGCGTAGCGCCACAAATGCTTCACTCACAAAGAACCTGACAGAGTTAAACCCAAGCCACTCCGCCTAGAAAGCGCAGGTTTGAAGGGCGGAAGAACTGAGACCACCCAGGCTCCACTCCCGCGCAGCTGAGACCACCCAAGCTCCACCCCCGCGGCCAGCTCGCTCCTCCCTCGCCGCATACATCACAGCCTCAATCCTTCCCTAACCACACCCCTTGTTCCGCCTCCAGATGACCCGGAAGTTGTCCCCACTACCGCTGCTTTCGTTCTTCCAGAATCCTTTGCGCTCTTCCTTTCCAACCTGGTCGTAACGCTGTGAGTACGCACGGCGGTCCTGGGCTTCGGGAATCTAGCTTCATCCTCCCCTGTGATTGTACTGATCAGGACGGCACGATCTTCCTTAAGCTGGCCCAAGGCTCCTTGTTCTGGGGAAATGGGTATTAGCTTTGCATTTAAGGGCTCCCGGTCCCCGAGAGGGAGGGTCTCTAGGGGAACCGGTGCCGCAGGGGTGTCTGGGGCTGGGGCATCTGAGGGGTGCCGGTGATGCTGCCGCTGAGTGGCCTGGTTGGCCGTCCCCAGACCAGAGGCTGCAGAGGTTTTGCTGGACCCTCCGCACGGAAGCGCCCTGAGGGCGGCAGCGTGAGGCCGGAACCTCTTTGAGCTTTCTTATCACCTGGTTTTAGATGGCTCCAGCAAAGAAGGGTGGTGAGAAGAAGAAGGGCCGTTCAGCTATCAACGAAGTGGTGACCAGAGAGTACACCATCAACATTCACAAGCGCATCCATGGAGTGTGAGTACCTCTGCAGTCACCTTGATGCTTGACCCAGATTTTTGGTTCTCAAGAGTCGGCCTAGTTACTGAAAGGCTAGGTGGTCTAGAACTTAACCTTTTTATTCAGAAGCTCTCAGCTATATTCCGTGGACTTTGAAATTTATATGATTGGAAGTAGTCTGAAATTAAGGGCTGGAAACGTGAATAGTGTCTGGGAGAGCTAGTTTTAGACAACTTATAATGATAAAATGTGAACACCATTCCTGCTCAGTACTTTTTATTGGAATTAAACCTGAGTAGCGCAGACGGTTAAGCGCTGGACTACTAGACAGGCCTGCTTCTGAAAAATTGAAGCCTTGAAAAGTTCTTGGAGCAGTTCTGTGCATGCATGGGTCACCATGAGTCAGAAGCGGCTGGATGGCAACTAAACAAGGGTAAAAGAGAAAAGATTGGTATATAGGGAAAGCAAATTTTAATGTCTCTAGTCCTCAGTAAAGTCAAAAAAAGCTGGGTCCAGCCCAGAATGTGAACACTTAAATGGGATTGTTTATTTCTTCAAGTCACAGATTGTATTACAATTTGTTGAGTTGTGATACCAGAAACAAAAGATGCTATAAAGTGACAGTGCTTTGAAAAGCTTATCAGTGGAATCATGGGACATTGTGTGGACATGTGAGGGTTGTGGATTGGTGATGAACAGGAGTATAGGGGATGATTTCGAATATGATCGTTGTAGTTCTGGTATTTTTTGTGGGGCTTACATTTTTGTTTTTGAACTTAGTTTCTCCCATTTTTGGAACAGGGCCCTTATTGCTGATAATGGAAACCAAATAATCCTCTTGCTGTAAACTGCTATTTGGGAGTATAATAGAAAACTGTTAGGCTGAGTTTTACTGAGGCAGCAGTCTAGAGCAGAATTTCTTACACTTAATGGGCAACTTGATCTCGTTTTGCCAGGGACTTGTGTGTGGTAGCATTTGCATTGAGCCTGGCATTTCAGCACTGCATCCACAGCCAAATACTGACTTGACTGCCAGGGAGCATTGTGTTCATTGTCTTATGTGGAGTCTGACTCTACAAAATTCAGTGTATTTTAGTATGAATGCTGCTTGTGAATAACAGCACATTTTTGTTTGAGGTGTACATGCTTCATTTCAGTGGGCATATCAAGCACCTAACTGTGTACCAGGCTCTATACTGGGCTCTGCAAGTGAAGGGTGAACCGAAGGCTCTTCCTGTCTTAGTAGAACAAGGCAGACAAGTATTTAGTTGTAAGATGGTCACAAGCACCAAGTGGAAAGTAAATCACAGGGTAGAGGGACAAGTATTGTTTTAAAGTTCACACAAATAATGGGGGTGAGCCATGCCGATAACATGTTTCCCTTTTCTGAATCCTTCCTTAACCTAATGTAAACTCGTGATCCCCTTCCCTAATACTCCTTCTCTTTCTCTTTTTGAGGTAGCCATTTTTCCATGCTTTATTTTTCTTTGTTACTTAATACCACCAGATATACTCAATATGTTACTTATATAAGCTACATGAGGAACAGGATTTTGTTTCACCTGCTACATGAATCCCTTAGTTATTTTTCAGTCCTCAGTCATCAACAGTTGACATTTCATCATTCCTTCCATAAAACACTGTTCATTTGACTTCCAAAGACTCCATAGGCTTGTGTTTCTTCCTACTTAACTAGCTCCTCTTCATCTTAATTTGTTGGTTCTTCTCACCTTTTCTCGATGTTGACTCTGTTCCTTTTTCAATCTAAGCTTGGACCGGTCTTACTTTAGATAGTGTCTACATGCTTTCTGAATTCTAGACTTGTATATCACTGCCTAGGTGATGTCTCTACTTGGGTGTTTGATAGCCATCTCAAACTTCACATGGCTAAAAACGAACTCCTGATGTCCCTTCTCTACCTCCAACCTGTTTTTCATTCAGTGACAACTTACCAAATCCTGTTGGCTCTTCAGACTACATCCAGAATCTGACCAGATGGCACCAATCCTGCTTCCTCATATTTACGGGTGGATTACAGTAGCAGCTCCTGTTGCTTGCCTCCCCCATCCCCAAGCATGGTCTGTTCACAAACCCTCTGTGCTGTCCAGTCTCATTCAGGTTAGAAGCTAAAGTTATTGCTATGATCCCATGAATTTGCCCCTTTATTTTCTTAATCATGCCAGGCATGGTTCTGTTTTCAGGGTAGCTTTTTTTTTTTTAGGATTTGGGT